AAACAAAAAAGGGGGATATAAATAAAGGACCATTTTGTAGTGAAAAAAAATACATGTATGTATACAAAATAGGATAGATACACAGCTACCTTCTATTAGTTCAGCAAGAAGAAAGGTTTGTACTGATATTGTTTAGACAAGATATCATATATGCATCTTGTCCTCTGAATAACTACTATGAAGACCACAATATGCAATGTATTAATTATTGTAACAGTCCTACTAACCTGTTTTGAAACTGTTTCATTGCTATTTTTTTCTCATGAAAATCAATAAAAATTAAAAAAAAATTAATACAAGTAATGATGTTTGGGCTGGGGAGATGGCTCAGTAGGATAAGCGCTTGACTGGTAAACGCAAGGGTCTGAGTCCAATCCCCAGTTCCACCAAAAAAACCCAAAAACCAAAAACCAAAAACCAAAAAACAAGCAATGATGTTTGACAAAATTGGAATTTAAAGTTAAAGACAACAAAATATCACATTTATCCAGTAAATTAAAAAAAAAATCTCCCTATTCCTTGAACTTCTTTAGCAGTAAAAACAGAACAAACCAGCTCTGACATCTATACTAAATGTATCAGGAAGTGTCTTCGCACAGGTCAGAAATGTTGTTTTTGGCCAGGAGGGGCTGTGATATTTGAGCTCTCTCACATGAAGTGAATATAGCAAGTGACAATGTTTTGGACCTGTGCCCTTTTATTGTGGTTTCTTAGAGCCAAGACAAGGAACTATAATGATTCTGTGACTTGTTCATTTTTTTTCAGGGACAGATGACAGTGTATGCAAAGTTTGGCAAAAATGTTTATCTTCCTGAAGACGCAGAGTTTTACTTTATTTATGACGGATCTCAACAGAGACACGTTGTGATCGCAGAACGTACGGAGGACAACGTGCTGCAGTCCAGCGTCCCAGGTGAGGTGGCCGTTGGGCTGGGAAGGCGGGACTTCTGCCTAAAAGCGTCATTCCCTCCTGGATGGAGTCCAGGAAGAGAACAGGAGGAAGAGGTGAAGGTGCTCCCAGGCCATGCTCACCGTGTGTGTGTGTGTGTGTGTGTGTGTGTGTGTGTGTGTGACACGTTAGGAAAAACACTTGTCCTGTGTTATATGAGGTTCTTTAAGCTCTTTCTACAGCTCCATCCATCTGGGCAGCTCATTCCCCTGCTATACCAAGCTCTGGAGGGTGGGTGTGCTTTGGGTGCAGTCCAATGGGGGAAACATGATGCCCACGTGTCATCTTCCCAGTGCCCAAGTTGGCTCAGGAAGGTCTTCCTGTAACATAGTTTGTCTCCCTTCTCATAGCGCTGTGGTCACCTGTCTTGCTCTCTTCTGTGGCTGGGGTTCTGTGTCCATCCGGAATCTTCTTTATTGGAGCTCAGGCTCTGGAACTTTCTCTCCTCATGAACAAAATGTTCACATTTTGAAATGTGTAGTTTTTCTACTTGTATTCTTCAAATACCATGGTGATAGAAGACAAAATACCCATTTAAAATTTTTAATTCCTTGTAATATCCATGTAAATATGCATGCCATTATGTGTTAATATCCCTTCCCAGATAAAGTTGTTTTGTCTTTTCATTGAGATGTGGCTTCAGGTGTATGCATTTAAAAGACATCAGGGGCCGGGGAGATGGCTCA